CAATCTCTTATCATTCCCTTGATCGATCTTACTTGCCAAATGTTCTGGAATTGCTTTACGCTCAGAATCTACATAAATGTACATTTAAGGCAATCATTAAATACCTACACCTTGTAATTTGATACTAGCAACTTTAACCAACTTATTAAACCAATATTCACATTTTTCCTTTAGGGGGAATCGATTCCATCCTGTGGGGGAATCGGTTCCCCTATGAGATTCTGGAATTTCTGGTTCGCTTGAGGGCTATCGATTCCCCATTGAATGGGTATCGATTCCCCTTGCCCAGAAATCATATTTTCAGCACGAAATTTACTTCATTTCATCTTAAACACTTCATATTTCAACCGCTTCTATATACTAAACTCAAAAACACATACTTAAGCCCATTTGTACTCATTTAATCCATCTTAATTCTCAAAATCCTCTCATCTTAATGAAATTCAAGAATTATACTCAAATTTCAACATATTCTAAATTCCTTTCTATCACTCCAAATCTCTTAATTCAACTATTGACAAGTCAAATTCAACTTATCAACTTTATTTCAAGATTTCATTCAAAAACTCAAAATATTTAATCTCTCCTATACCTTTCATCTTGTTGTTTTAGAACCAATTAAGCTTTCCTTAAGCTTAATTACCATCCAATGATCAAAACCCAACCTTTAATTGAACAAATAATCAACTAATGAAGAAACTTACCTTTGCCCTTGAGCTCTTACGGGAGGAGAAAGAAGAAAGGAAGAAGAGATGAAATGTTTTCATCTTCCACGTTTTAATCTCCAATTAAAGGGGATAAAAATATCTTTTATTGTCAAATGACCATTTTGCCCTTTACTACTTTGGATAATTACTAAAACTTCCAGGGATTATCTCTACATAAATCATTGAACTTTTCAACTTTTCCACTTTAATCACCAAATTCTGAAATTTTACAATTTAGTCACTAACCCATAATTTGGGATGTTACAAATAGGGTCCCAAATAACAAAGAGATATGTATAAGGAAGGCTTGATTAAGCCCATTTCTAATCCTAAATGAAATGTCATTTACGTAGGGATTCATATGTAAATATAATATCTATTAAATACATTTGAATGATCTTTCTCATAATGAGAATGTATAATGAATTTATAATCATAAAATCGACTCGTTCATCAGATTATAAATTATAAATTCATAACCCTAGCCTATTCCCATTTTGAACGGAATAGTGCCACTAATTCTTTGATTTGAGTAAGTAAAGAAGGATCTTAAACTAAGAAATAGATTCTAGAAGCTAATGTTAATAACAAGTGACTTATTGACATCATTTAAAGCAATAACTAAATAGAAATAATATTATCATATGCATAAAATGCTATCATTCAAAATAATTGCCGTAGTTTCTAACTAGAAGATAGCCTCAAAATGAAACAAGTGAACTATACACACAATGAAATAATCATTGAATTACAGTATATTTGATGTGCTAATCAAACCTATAAACAAGATTAACAGCACGGCCACCCGGAAAACAACAGTTAATGGTTTACGTGAGCGGCGAGCTGAAAACTTCATCCACTGAGATGAAGTCTCTTCATGAACTGAAACAACGGTATTCGACAACAAAACAGTAGCTTTGCTCGACTTATGAAGGGGTATTTCCTGCGATTCGTCGATGGTGCCACGATCAGCACCACGGCCAACAATGATACCCTTTTCTTCTACTTCTACCTCCTGCAAAAGACAACTTTATAAGGTCCGATACATATCCGGAATTGACAGTGGGTTTCTATACAAGCACCAAGCACAAACTTCTCGCCTTTTTAACAACTGGTTTCGAATCATCTTCATTCTCTCCACTACTCCACTCATCTATCGCATCGTTATAATGAACCGAGCGAGCCTGAAGGTTACACTGCAGACGTATTCTTCCTGTCACATTAGCCTGTATCATGGAGTTTTTATTGTGTGGTTGACTTCGAGAAGGGCGGGACCTAATCCTGATTCCAGTGACAGCGCTCTCAACATTACAAGATGTATTTGTATGATTTCTGAATTCTCCATCACTATTTAGAGCGTTATAGAATGGCACTGTACTGGAAAAGTCGACATCCTGCATGTAAATCGGATTTGCGCAAGACGGTCCATAGGAGATCCCCCCTGTTGCCCTTGTCTGTCCCTAGATGTTCCAAAGAAAAAAAATCTTGTTTTTAGATAGGGAAAACACATGGAACGCTAGGAAATGCAAATACGAAAATATGTGTATCATATACATGACCAGAATTCATCGGTGTACGACAAGATATAACATTTGAATGAATCTTGACATGCTACAAGCAATATTTTAACTAGTTAGCTTCTACTCACCAGCACTTCGGCCGCTTCACCATCTGATTCATTGCATGATCTGCCATCCTTACCAAAGCTCATGGCCTTAGGAGTCTCACATTCTGAATTCTTCCGACTGCCGTCGTCGTCAGCGTAGCAGCCATCCAAATCATTCATTATGGATTCCTAGAAGTTCGAAACATATGCATCGTTTTCATTAGTGCCATGCTCAAACGCCACCCCACCGAGACAGTTTCCAACATGATCAAACATCCAAGGTGCCTGCTCTGCTTCAATCTGGTTGTGCAATGGAGAAAATAGTGGTTCTCCCGTTGAATCGTAGAAATGATTCAAAGCTTCTTCAAGTAAACGCATCTGAAATCGAACAACGTCAGTTCCGTAGAAATTATCACAAAATCTATATCAAAATTCAGGATCCCCCCTCACTTCTGCAGGGACCATATCTGCCACATGATCCATTTCATCATAAGCTTTATAACCATCCCATTTACGTCTCTCTGGGTGGCCTGGGTTAAGGAATATGTCCTGAAGGGGGCTATTTTTTGGGAAGCTAGTTACAAGCCACAACTCAATTGGATTATGCGGAAACTATTCAAGCTTAGGAGTTCAGCTGCTGATTTGTTTGGTGGTGTGGTGGACTGAAATGTGGTTAAAAGCAGTTGGGTGTAGGAGAAAATGAGGGGCAGGAGGGAGAAAGTAAGATGGGATCATCTAATCTGGTTCCCTTTGCGCATCCCAAGATTGTCCATTATTGCCTGGATGGTTATTCTTAATAGGCTCCCAACCAAGGACATGCTCATTCATATGGGAATAAAGTCGGATGGACGCTGTGATCTGTGTTGTGATGGTTTAGAGAGCAGGGATCACCTGTTCAACGATTGTACATTTGCAAGAGGGGTCTGGAGCAAAGTTTTACAGGCTTGTAGAATTCCCTGCAGGGTGCTGTGTTGGAACGATGCATTGGCCTGGGCAGAAACTAACTACAAGGGGAAGTCCTTGCTAGTCTGCATTTTGAAGCTAGCTTGGATTAGTCTCTTGTACTTTGTCTGGGAGGAACGCAATTTTAGGCTCTTCAGAGGCTACTCTCGTGTTCCTGATGAAGTCTTTGATAACATCAGGGGGACCGTTAGTGCCAAGTTGCAAGGCTACAACATAAACAAAGCTGACAGGGTTAACCTTCAACTCTGTGTAGAATGGAACATTGGTTAACGGACTGGTGCCTGCTGTGTCCTAGGATCTATCTGTTAACCCTTCTACTGAAGTTTGGTTATTTTTCATCTTAACTTGTTGTTTTTGGTTCCTTTGGTAGCATTAGTCGTGTTGATTGTTTAGACTTGGGTCTGAGGTCTCTAGTTGGGGGCCAGTGCTTGTTCTGCTTTTAGCAGTTGGTTTCTCTTGTAATATATAACCGTTCTTTTGGGTAATAAAAATCAAATTATCAACAAAAAAAACCATCCCATTTACACTCCAGTTTAGGTTCAACGGCTTTAGAAACCACTTCACTATGCAAACCAAAATGACGAGTTTCCGTCGCATCGAATATTTTTTTGGCTTCCCCTTCTACTGCAGGGGAGTCTCGAGGCACTTCTAACACCGATAGCATGTCTTTGGTAGGAGACAATACAGTCGGACCAACCCCATCACCGTTGAAATCTTCAATGGACTCATCTTGTTTCTTGAACAGACGACAAATTACAAATGCATTCTGCAGGAGAAATTAAAAAAAAATTAAGAACAAAAATGATCTAAAGAAGAATACAAGTAAATCAAGAACAACATATTATTATATTTGTAATATAATAATATTATATTATTTGAAAATTAAATTACGTAATTGTACTTACTTCGTTGATGTTAGGTTTGTGTCAACAATTCCTAGAAAAAAGTGGACCATTAAGTAAGCTAACCAATAAAGCTTTGACATGTGGAAATTGTTAGTCATGTATAAAAGCATGGGGTCCACACGGCTTACGTGGCTACATATGAAAGTGCTACGAACCATACTAGTGCATGGCTGCCTACAAATACTCTTCCTTTATCAAATATTAGATTTAAAATTTCAATTGTATTATCATAGTGTTAAAAGTACTAAAAGTAATACAATTATGTGATATATAATGATATGGATATCCATAATTATATAACATAAATTTAATATACAGTATGTAACATTTTTGTTTTTTTATAAAGAATCAATAAGTGACAAATAAGTATCTATTTATTAATGATCTATTAAACATAATTATAATAGTAGAAAATATAAAATTTAATTAAAAATGTCAATGAAGTTAAATTTAAAAAGTCTTTTATATTGGAACAAAACTTGTAAAAAACATTCTTGCGTGTAAAGATATATATATATATATATATATATATATATATATATATATATATATATATATTATAATTGAATATTATATTTAAATATTCTAAAATGACTATTCGTATTTATTTTAAATTTATAATAAATAATAATTTTAATATCTAAATTCATAAAACTCGTAAAATATCCATAAGTATCTAAAGATAAAAGCAAATATTTGGGCTACATTGTTAAAAAGATCGTTTTGACAAAAAGGCCATTCTGGAGTAATACCAAAACAAAAAACAAAGCCGGAGAAATTGGATCAGGCAACCATTCCAATTTCAATTCCCCATTTCTTTACTCGAGGAAATTACATACACAAGTTGTGACGAAATGGAGGGTGGAAAAGAGCAAAGACTGGCGGTGGTTTCCAGGTTTATGATGGCTCAACAAAACCCTTTGGAGCAATTGCAAACCAAGTTCAAGGAAGTCGAGAACGGGTTCAAGGCTTGGCTAGCCAAGCAGTCCATGTCAGTCGAGGCGGCGGTGGTGACCGTCACAGGCGCCGCCCAGGGTGCTGCTATCGGTGCTATCATGGGTACCCTAACCAACGACATATCCTCTTCTCTTCCAACTCCTCCTCAGGCTTCCCTCAATCCTCAAGCAATGTCTTCTCTCAAGCAAGCCCAGGTCTTAGTTTTTATCTGCGATCTCGATAATTTTTTCCCAGAACTGTAATTTCCAATTACATGTCTCGAAAAATAATATATATATATATATATATATATATATATATATATATATATTTATTTATTTAATGCCGATTGTGTGTTTCTGGGGAGGACCATGTTCTAGATAGTGCACATGCTAATTGAGTTATATTGTTGTTTACAAACACGAATAGTTTTCTAATTACCATTGTATTGTTAATGGATATGTGGGTTTTATTGATATTTGATGCATGTTTTAATTGCAGGCTCTATCCGGAGGTCCCTGGGTTCAAGCTCGTAATTTCGCGGTAATGACCGGTGTCAATGCCGGCATAACTTCTGTTATGAAAAGATTGAGAGGGAAGGAGGATGTTCAATCTAGGTGGACTTTTTAATCTTGTTTGATTTTCTTTATGTTGTTTTATAGCTAGCGGATATTGCAACTAGGTATAGTTAAATCGGATTATGACTTGCTAACATATGCTGCAATATGCTCAATAAACCCGTACAAGATACCAACATATGATGCTTTAAATGAACTCGTTTCCAACACAAAAAATTAATATTGTTCTTCGTTATGTATTGGTATCTGTTTTTGTCCTAGAAAGTGTAACAAATCTAGTGAGATTCCTATTGAGATGCAAAGAAATCTCAGTGACTTTCTTTGAGGGTCTTAGCTTTACAAATGTTATGGTCAAACAGTTTGTTCCAGACCTTGGAATTGTTATGGGTGATATATCTGTGTTGGCTTTTACTGAATTTGGTCTTACGTTTTGGAAAGGATGAAGACTCATTTACTCCTGTGGTTTGTCGTCAAGTCAAAATTTGGATGTATTTTCTCTTTATTTTTCCTTGAAATTCTTAAGACGTTTCCTTTCCGGAGCCAACTTGATTTCCATTTCTAGCTAAAATAGGCTGCATTTGGCTATGTGAGATCATGGTCCTTTTATTTTTTCTATTTTGTAAGCATATGAGGAATAGAAATAAGTTCTCAAACATTTTATTGGTACAGTTAATAGGGTGATTAACTGATTATTTGTTATTTTTTGTAGAAAATGAGATACTAATTTTTAAAGATCTTCTCATTTGGAACTAGCTTGTTTTCCCCTCAATTTAGAAACTTCGAGGTGCATTTATCTATGACAAATACATGCACATTTTTTCTTCTCTCATTCGCTCATCTGGATTCCACCTCACATGCCCCACTTTTATCGGTTTATGTTGCGTTCTCTTGGGGATTCTCCTTTCTCCACCTGTTCTCTCCCATCATAAATTAGCATTGCAATATTATTTGCATATTGTTGGATATTGGACTTAGGTAAGCTTAAGATGGATAGATAATTTTCTAATCTTGTTGTTTGAATATCGAACTGTAGACTTCATTTGGTTTATGTGTGTATCTCTTGCTCGACATACTTAGGTTTTCATGGTTTTTTAATGTAAATATTCTATTTGCAGCATGGTGGCGGCTTTTGGTTCTGGGGCCATGTTTTCTTTAGTGAGTGGCATGGGTGGCCCTAATCAGGCTGCAAATGTAGTCACTTCTGGACTTTTTTTCGCACTCGTTCAAGGCGGGCTTTTCCAGGTTGATAAATCATTCCATTATACCCCTTAATACCACTATCTTATTTTTAGTGATTTCTGGTTATTAACTGTTATAAAAGTTATGAATCTGATCAGCTTGAATCAAGTTTGTTGAGTTTCTATATCCATGAGCTTCTTGAGTAAATTTTCCCTTTAACAGCCAAGTATAAGGAATACTACTTCAAAATAGTGCTCTACTGGCCTGCGGTTTCATATCTAACAGCCTTTTTTTACGGTTATTTAGTTAGGGCAAAAGTTTTCTCAACCACCTGCTGAGGATGTGTACTATTCCCGAACAAGATCCTTGTTAAACAGTCTTGGCCTCCAGAACTACGAGAAGAATTTCAAGAAAGGCTTGTTAACCGATAACACATTGCCTTTGCTCACTGATAGGCAAGAAACTGAAGTTTTTATCCTAATTTAACTTTCAAATTAGTGTTCTATGATCTCTCTCTCTCAATGTACATATATTCTGATGGCCATGGAATTGTCTAATGTGTTTCAGTGCTCTTAGAGATGTGAAAATACCCCCTGGGCCTAGGCTTCTTATTCTTGACCATATTCAGAGGTTTGGCTCAACCTTCTGTGAAAGCTAATTGTTGCCCTTGAGGCCTTGAACAGTGAACTCTATCTCACCTTCTTTTGATTATTTGTCACCAGAGACCCGGAATTGAGAGAGAAGCGATGAAGCCACGGCCCCACGGGTGAAGTTAGATTGTCAAGGCAGTTCATTATGAAGGGGAATATCTCCGAAACTGTGGAATAGGTGAGTAGTTTTTGTTTGTTTTTTAATCGAAATGAATTTTGCTTTTCTTTCTTCTCTGTTGTCGTTAACATCATATTTCAATAAACACGCTTGTTTAGAATTAAAGATTCAAGTTCACACTATCTTAATGAATTTATCGAGTAGTTATGGTTGCTGTTATACTTAAGATTGGATAAAGATGCTAGGTACATGTGCTTGTATGCAGTAATTTTGGTATTTGCCTTTGCATTTTCAAGGTAAAGCTTAACTATGTACTTGGGTTGAGTTCGATTCTCATTCTCAATTCTAAATTAAGTTACAGAAAATGACTAGAGTCTGTATTCAAGATGACAGTAAGAGACATAAATTGAATCGAAAAATGATTGGTTGTAATCGGAGTACGATATAGAAGTTGATGTAGCATGAATGAAAGAAACCTGTAAACAAGGGCAATAGATGGAGAGTGAGTGGTGCCCTTATCCATTGTGGAATTCCCTGGGGACAAAGGCGAATATGGCAATAAATTTAGGCATATCCCTTGTTTTGGCTTTTCTTTTGAAGTTATTTATTTCCGCTTGGTTTCTGGTTATAATGGGGGCTAGGTGGGCCTTCTGCCTGCTCCACTCCACATATCACATCTGTGGACCGTCTTTGTCCGCAATCGAACTCCATGCACTTATAATATCCACATTAAAAATAGGTTTATGGACCGCAAGTTTTTTTATAAAAAAAAGAGAGTATTAAAACGTGCTTTCTTTAATTTTTTATATCAGATTATGATTTTAATACCAGAAACTCAACTTTTTACTGATTTAGCAATGTAAATTGTAATTACGATTCACTTGAACACACATTGGAGGGAATTGAGAAAGGGTGTTTGAGCTAATACCACCAAAAACAAAACCACCAATCAATTTCATTTTCTTTCTATAAGCTTATTATATAGTTCCTCCATGGGGTCTACCTTATCTTTCAAAGTTAATAGAATTCCTAATAACTTTTTTCTTTGAATAGTTCAAGTATTTGTTCATAATCTTTTTTTAGTTGTTGATAATGTGTAGACACAATTATTCGAATATTGACTTTTAAAAAATCTCTTTAATCTTTCCTTTTATATACCGAAAATAAAATTACACAATACTTTTTAATTGTTGCAAGTTTCGATCAACTTTGAGAAACCATACAATATATTTAAAAACTATTAGGAAAGCAAATAAATGCTCAACTCTATGATTGAGAGAGAGATGCGAGTAGAATATGAAGGTCGACTCATAACATTAATGTTTTCATACATTCTGTAAAGTGGTGGAATGATCAACATGCTTCTTTACCCTTGACGTTTCTAGAACCTGTAAGAAGAATAATTATCTTTTTAACCATCACCAACAGCGTTGAATCTATTTTTTCCGAATTTTTTCAGAGAAAAATAAAATAAAAAACAGACACCGGTGCTAGTTTGAAGCATAATAGAATCTAATCCAGATTCTACATCCACTTGTAAAAAGCTTTAATTTCAACTTCAAATTCAAACTTAAAATTAAAATTATTGAAAATTTTATTTAAATATTATCTGACTCAAATATAATTATTCTTAAATAGTAAAGTAAATATACTTAATTTTACATGGAGAAGAGAAAAAGTTCGCTTAAAAATGATAATTGCGTGCTTTAAGTGATCAAGAATTGAAAAATACTCGAGAAAAGAACAATAGATAGATGGGTTTTCCTCTTTAACATCTTAATATAATTGTAAGGTAGAATCTGTGTTGGTTTTAAATATTTATTAATAGAATTATTTAAACTCTAATTGTTTGAGAATAATAATACGATATTTATCGATCAACATTGCTCGAGTTGACAAGGGTTTTTAAACAGTTAAAAAAACATTAATAACAATGAATTATCATGGATTTAAATAATGGTCTGCTCGTTGTATAGTAGTAATGGTGTCTTTCGAAACTGTTATTGTATGATTGTGATACCCGTAATCACTACACTAGTGTTTACTAAAATACAATAAAAAACACACCTACAACCCTAATTTAAATATATGGGATATATTAAACTCGAGTACACGTATGCATTTCTTGATTCCAAAAGATGGCTATAAATCATCCTCGTCTCTGCTCCCACGCAATCGCCCTTTCTACTTTTCTCTTAACTCTTCCAATCAAAAGCTAAAAAACCCAGAAATATAATACAAAAATGCGACCACCGCCGTCAAAGGAGGCGGTGGCGGACACCGGAGAGCGCCTTGTACGGTTGTCCCCACAGCTTTCTTCAGGGGAGCCAGAAATGTCTTCCGCTTTAGAATCAACGTGTAATCCTCAGACTTGTAGGTGGCGGCCTTACTCGAAGTCAAATAACTTCGAGGCTAACGCGGCCATGGTTTTGATCATTCTCTTCTGTGCTTTAATATGCTCTTTGGCTCTTAACGCCGCCATCCGCTGCTTCTTGCGCGGCGGTGACAGACGCCGCCCGCGTTATTCACGCAACAGCAACGATAATAGCATTGCCGAGGCGCAACACCAAGAACTTGATCAGCAGAGGAAGCCCGTGGCGGAGGCAGCTGCGGCACGGTTGGTGGCAACTCCGACGGTGGTTTACTCGACCGGGATGAAGCTGGCCGGAGAGGAAGCTGAATGCGCAATTTGCTTGTCTGAATTCGTGGAGGGGGAGGGGATTCAAGTGTTGGCAAAGTGTAACCATGGATTCCATGTAAAATGTATTCAACAATGGTTGTCTTCCCACTCGTCTTGTCCCACTTGCCGTTGTAGTTGTCTTTGTCCACCGCCTTCATTGGAAGAAATCACCGGTAACAGATCCCGGTAAGCGATGCTGGTGCAGGAACCGTAGCGGTTTTGGTTGTTCTTGTTCATCGCGTATGTATGAAAACTGTCAACATTTTATTTTTGGTTATTCAACACTGAGATAAAAACGGTGAAAATATTCTTCACCGCCAAACAATAACTTTAGCCGACAATCCATTACAATTCCAATTTATTAGATTCAATATGTGCATAAAAATTACTTTATAATTTTTAGAAAATAAATTAAATAAGTTTGGATTACAATTATAATCTACATATTTATATAACATAATGTGTATATATCTTATAAATATAATTATTCAAATTATAAAGTTGGAAGATAAATATTGGTGTGAGGATTTTAACATATACACCTTATAAATGTAATTATTCGAATTTAAATTTGTAAAAAAAAATAATATTATTTTTTACCACGAAAGCATAACCCTTCTTAAAGAAGAGGGGACAAGATCCTTTCATCAACCTAGTTTAGGCACTAACTGTTTATGTAGATTTAATATGAAGAATACTTAAAATATATGAACCTAAATTTTTAAAAAGAAATATGTTACATAAACAATAATACGTGCTTAAATATATTTTAAAATTTAATTTATATGTTTTATATAGAATTTACATTAGAACAAATATATTTGGTCGGCTGATCAAGTTGTTCATCTTTGTTTCTTCATATTTTTTAAATCATGGATTTTAGATCCACTATCCACTAGAAGTATTTTCCTTTCTTTCCTCTAGAGTCCACCGTTCCCCTTCCCTCTAAAGTATGATTAAGATTATATTAAAATTTATTTTATATGTATATATATATGTGTGTGTATATATGTATGTATGTATTGGTATAGAATGTGGAATTACAGAAATTACACCCTTCACGCGCCCTCCCTATGACGTCTTTCCCCATTAGAGTTATCAACTCATTGGGTGAAATATATATATATATATATACTCTAAATTAAAGTTGAGCTGATATTTAACACCCAAATTAATGTTAGATTGACCATAGGACACAACTGATACTATACATATATTTTAAAAACTTAATTAGCATATTTTAAACTTTATGTATCAATATAAGATTTTGATCTTAGTTTGAGGATGTTTTGTGGAATTAACCCTTCGTTTTACGAATTACAGTTACAAATTTCCTTGCCATTGTGACGCGCAGTAGGGGGGAAAACCGTTAACGCACGCGCAGTCCTGAGTTTGCTGCGAGCGAATGGTAAAGCGACACGGCGGCATAATGTCACGTGAGAGTCACATGACAAGCAACCAGACCGAAAGTAAGTTTTTTCCATCAACAAATTTAGCTGAGCAAAAAGATTTAGTGGGGAAAAAAAAAGACCCCAAAGAGAAAAGGAAAAGAAAGAGAAACAATATCTGATTCACAAAGAACTGTACAAATTGAATTTAGGGTTTAGCAAATTGGGGGAAAAGGGGAGTTTTGACTATGGATTCTTTGCCTTTAGGGTTTAGATTCCGGCCGACTGACGTAGAGCTCATCGATTATTACCTTAGATTGAAGATCAACGGTCGTCATTCCGAGGTTGAGGTCATTCCTGAAATTGATGTTTGCAGATGGGAGCCCTGGGATTTGCCTGGTATTTTTTTACTTTTCAAACCGTTCAATTTAGTTTTAAAAGGGATAAATTATTTGGTGTATAATTGGACTGAATCTTTGGTGATAAAAACTTTCCCTTGTATTTTTAAAGTTATAAGATAGTCATTGATGTGACTCCGATGAATGCCATTAATCTTATAGACATAATAATCTTGTCTTATTATTCCATTTCACCTAATCTCAACTTTATTATGTCATTTTTTCTAAATATATTATTATCTATTTTATTATAATATATAAATTTTGACTTTCTTAATTCAGGATTTAAATTTTCAATTCTAAATTGGATGGGAACTGAAAATTGAAATAATAACATAAATATCTTATGATTTAGTGGAGGTTTTATCTAACTTGTTTTATTTAGTATAATATTGGGAGGGACCAACCCATACATAGGTTTTCATAAAAATCTGAAAGGATAAGCCTGGGAAATAGGAACCACTCGCTGTTACATCATTTAGGGTTGTTCATTCGGTTAATTTGGTGGCCGATCGAACCGAATTATCATTAACCGAATTTTTTTTAACTGTTAATCAAATCAATTTTTTTTTTTGAAAATATTAACTGAACCGAATAAATTTTGGTTAATTTTTGAATTAACCGAAAATTTTTAAAATTTTCTAATTTATATAAAATTAAATATTTTTTTAATTCAAAAAACAGTTTATATAAAAATTAAATATTTCAGTTAATTCGGTTAATTAATCGATTTCTAACCGAATTAACCGTTAACCGAATTCTAAAAATTTTCTTAACTGTTAACCAACCGAATTAACCAAACTAATTCGGTTCAAACCGAATTAGTTCGAAAATTTGAACACCCCTAATCATCACCGCTTTTTTTAGGGTAAACTATAATATAATGAACTATAAGAGATATTTGGATAAACTATATATTTAGTATGTGATTATCACTTTTATTTCATTTTTATCATTTAATTATTATTTTTAAATCATGTTTAACGTTACGTTTTGATTTTATTTTGATCACTAATCGTTAAAAATTAATATAATTACTGATAATTATTTTTTAATGATGACGTGACATTATTTTATGACGACACATCGATATTACTGTTATTTTTTAACAATGGTTGATCAAAATAAAACCAAAACTAAACATAATATATGATTTAATAAAAATATATAATTAGATGATTAAAAAACAAAAGTAATAGTTAAAATTCTAAATATATAATTTACTTGAGATATTTTTATGAATTCTAAATTTTACTATTTTTATGAATTCTAAATTTTACTGAACTTATGCTTTTATATAAATTATAGATTAAAGATAGATAGATATATCAAGAAATAAATGATAGGGATTTGAGATTTTTATTTTAGGATATATTTTTTTTATTTTTATAATTAATCCGAAGTAAGTACAATGTAATATTGGTTTAAATATAATTATTAATCATTTGATATTGAACATTTATATCTTTAATATTATTAATGTTCGAACTCAAGACTTTAAATAATAATAATAATAATTCATTTATCATTAAGGTCGCTTAGTTCATACAATTTAATATATTTTTGTGTGATTGAAAATGAGGATTATTGTTAAGAAATAATAGATAAGGTGGGGGAATGTTAATGTTTCTATGTTGATGTGCAAAGAAGCCATAGACGTCAACATCTTTGTCAACTTTACAAATGGATCCTCTATTCCTTCATTTTTCTTATCATTTCGTTTTTACACTTCAACTCTAAATTATAGGCAAATTGTTTATTTGTATATTCTTCTCAAGTTGTTGATAATATCAATGTATATATCTAACGGATCTAAAAATATTTTTAAGAATGAATATATATATTAACGATATAAATTTTTTGACTTATATAGATATAAATAAAATCTTAAGATAAACACCACTAATAAAATAAATAACTAATCAAATAAAATTCGAATTTCAAAATAAACACGTGCTCATTCTAAGGTACCTATGAATCCTTTCTCTCTCAAGTTTTAGGAGATGCTTTTAATCCAACTTTGTTACGTTTTGTACACTGAATACTGTTGCATGTATACAAGAGATGGTGGGTAGAACAGATTTCAGGAATATATGTGTTATGTAATGTTCTGTTATATCTACTATTGTAATAAACATAATATGATCTATTGATACCATACCCATATTATTCTTTTTCGATTTCAACATTATAATAGTATCGAAGTTTTACGTGTAAAATATGTGTCTTTTTAAACACAACAAATGGTTCATCTTTTTAAAGAGTATCAGATTACTTTGATATCATCAAGAGATTGTCTCTTTCATTAGTGTCTCTTCCTTCGTTACTTCAGCTTATATATATATATATATATTATGAACTTAATTTGAGGCAGAATTGTGATTCCAAATTTTCAATGGCTGCCCTAATAGCAATTTGGGTCTATTATATCTGTTATTTCCCAGTGTTTGTTGGGTTACTTTGACAACAAAAATGGGCGTCGGCAGCAATATTCATCACCACAAGAAGACTGATAAGGGCCAACCACTTTCTTTGCAGGTTCCCCTTCACCCACCTCCAACAAGTTTGTGTTTATATATAAATATGTTAATTTTCTAATTAATCTTGAGTTATTTTATTGTTTCATCCTCATCTTTGATCTCTGATATATCCCTACCAAAAGACCTCCGTATACACTATTTTCACGTCTTATAATTCTTGGAGGACCCTAAGGCACTTGTATATGATTTTCCGACACCAAGAGAACTCTCAAAGACAGAGAGTACATCTCTAAAGGATAAACCTCGAATATATAACATCTTTCGAGAAGTCATGACTAGTTGATAAAATTTATGACTGATTCATTCTACCTACTAAAGTCAAATATATCATAAACTTAATTATATCAACTTAACATGTCAATCCACGTATATCCATCATATCTATAATATATGCACTTAACACACGTATTAAAAATTTATTATAAAACCTTTCAAGTATAATTAAGAGACGAGATGTGACCTCAATGAGATTATCTCACCTTTATTTTTTTTACTTTACCTCTTTGTGGAAATAAAACATTTTAACATCAATTAACAATCAATTTCTTGTCAATTAAAACTTTCCACTCAAATTAAAAAATGAACCATCAATAATCGTGACAACTCATTTTATCTCATCAACCATCTTAAACTTACCAAACTTGCCTTTCTGATCTAATGATTTTCATACGATAAAATGGGTATTATCTAGCATCGGTTTAGATCTTGAACTATTCATGTTTTTTTTATATTAAAGTAACCTCTAAAATCTATGCCAATTTCCAATTAACTTTAGATTGGATACTTAAAGATATTCAAGATGGGTCTTGAGTTTTAGGTTAAATTTTCAACAACTTATACATGTTATACATAATTTTTTAACATGTTTTTGATATACGTATAAAAACGAATATATTATTTTATGTTAAAGGGCGTGAAATTAAATCATTAATAAAAAAAATACAAAGAAAACACTAAAACTATTCGAGGATTTGAAATATCAAGATGTGATCGCACCCCCTCAATCTTTCCCTAA